ACAAGCACATTAGCATCTTCTGTGTACCAAACACTCCTTTAAGGGCTTCATCTGGGCTAACTTGTTGAGTCCTCAAGACAACTTGTGAGGTGGGTACTCTTATTACCCCATTTTACAGATGAGGAAACTGAGCCATACTAGGTGAGGTAACATGCCTAGTAAGCACAGAGCAGAGGTTTGAACCCAGTGGTCGGGCCTTGAGGCCATGTCCCTAACTATTACCTCTGTCAGCTAGAGGTCCAGGTGGTGTCTTGCTCATAAAACGCTTAGCTCAGGGCTGAGCACACATTAAGTGCTCCATAAACGTCACTTAGTGATTCTGTTATTATTATTAATTAGAACTTTATGGCTCTGGCTAAGTGGGGTGAGGCCTCTGGACTTATCGCTGCCTGCCCTTTGCCCATGGTGAGCCGCCACTACTGCGCAGGGCACCTAATGAGGTTATTAGGGTGGGTTATCATGCACCGAGATGGGATCACATCGCACTGCTTGCTGAGGGGTCATAGAGCGCTCATTAGTGGGAGCAGGAAGGAGAGAATGTCCAGGCTGGGTGGATAGAAAAGGGAAAAGAGCCCCAGCGTGGGCCGGCTGGCCTGATTTTTATTTCTCACATCAACTTGACCGGCTCTGCAGAGAGGGTGCGTGGGTGCCAGCTGGAGTTTGACCTGGAGCCAGTAGGCAGGGGGACTTGGGATCGGTCTTCACACTCAGCTATGGGGCCCATAAACACACGCTGGAGGACCAGGTGGGGACAGGCTGAGAGGGGAAGGAGGAGCGGAGCCCCTGGCCTGTGGCCCCCCGGGCCTAATCCAGCGGCCCCCTTTCTGTCTCTGTGACCGGGCCCTGCCTCAGCGGGCTCTGTTCTCACCCATGTCTTCCTCAGTCAGCTCCTGTGATTCTGCCCTTTTCAGGGCTTCTCTTACCTCTTTCTCAATGTCCTCACAACGCTGCCAGCTCTTTCTCCAAAGCACATTCTGAATCTGGCTGCTCTCTCCTCCCATCACCACCCTACTCTGAGCCACCACTGTCCCTCTCTTAGACTATCACAATGCTCCTGACTAGAGCAATTGTCTTAAAACATAGTCTAGGGCCGGCCCGGTGGCGCACTGCTACAGTGCGCCGCTTGGGAAGCGCGGCGGCGCTCCCGCCGAGGGT